ATCGAACTCATGCGGAAGTGGCTTCAGCTTCTTAGTGCTGTGCTTTAACCCGCTGCGCCACCAGGGAGGGCCCTGTCCGGGCTTTTGAGGGCACAGATAGTTCCCTCGAGAAGAGGCCGGAGGACACTTCCTTATGGCCTGAGCGTCAGGGGGCTCATATTCTATTTCAGCGCCTGGGCAAGGACTCTCGGCGCCAGGAGCATGCCAGGTTATGTTCCCACTGGTTAGGCAGGCTAGAGGACGAGCCAGAGTAGGGGAAGGTGCCAGGGCTGCTCACTGCTACCAAGGTGCTAGGCTGCCCCAAAACCTCGGGAGAGCGGGGAATAGGATCAAAAACAGTGGAGGAGGGAAGTGCCCTGGACTCTGGTGATGGCACATGGGTGACTTGGTGATGGGAAACCCACGGGGATTACAATTGAGATGGAAAAAAAAAAAGTACAAAATGATATAATTTTTTTTTAATGATCAGCAGAGCTAACTTGTAAAAACAAAACAAAACAAAAACCCGGCCCCTCTTCCCAGTCTGGCTCTTGGCCGCCTTCGTACCCCAGTTTTCAGGCAGAGCAGGGCGGTTGGGGTAAAGGTACGCCTGGCTGTGGTTTATGAAAAGCATTCCAGGTAAAGGGGAGCATGCTCTTAAAACAGCCTTCCCCAACCAGTGTTTTTCACCGGCGTTTGCCATGGCTTCCTTCACTCTGTGCGGCATTTGTGGAACAACGCAGTCAGCGACTACACAATCTGGGGGTGCACTGCGAAGTAAGCCACCCATGTCCCAGGCCTGTGCAGAGCTAGTGGAGTAAGGCACCTCCAGGGGAAATGTCGCCTTTCCCCACGATGGGATCCTCTCAGCACAAGGATGGCTGGGAACACGGCTGCTTTCTGGCTTCTGCTGTCTTCACTTTGACCTTGCCACTAGCTAACACTGTATCCTTGAGCAGCTCTAATCTTTTTTCCTTGGTGCTTTTTCTTTTCTTTTTTTTTTTTTTTTTTGCAAAATACTCCAATTTCTATTTCACTCATTTAAGTCTCTTGTGCCAGATCTCTGCAAAGCACTGGAGTATCCTGATGAAAAAAAGCACTGGGCCTCCATAGTGGATGAGACAGACAAGTGGGATGACTACTCAGAAAAGGATACTGGGTGCCATGGTACACACAGCAAGGAGATTTAACCCCACCCCAAATACAAACACTGACCCCACATGGAAGCCCCCCCCACACACACACATATTCACCCTTAAAAACTTAGGAAGTAAAAACTGAGGTCTGGAAAATGAGTCCTAGTTAGTTAAATGGAAGCTAATTTGTTGGTTTTAAAAAATAGAATTAGGGCCCTCCCTGGTTAAAGCAAAGTTATCACAGCTACTGCAGCAAGAGTCTGATCCCCTGCCAGGGAGCTGACCCACATGGCGCAGCAGACCTCTCCTGATCCTTCCACTGCTCCCCTCAGCAGTGTACTTCAGTATACTTGCCTGTTCTGCTCCCCACTCTGTCTCTGATGAATCCTCTCACACCTGTGGCCTATATCCCAATTCTGTATGCAGAATTAATAAAATAGAATTATTGAAGAGCAAGAACCACCAAACCTGCCCCCAAGAAAGGGCGGATGGTCACAAACCCCAGTGACTGACCAAAGCCACCCACTGTGGACATGGCTTGTCATCCATAGTGCTGGTGGTCCCCATGCTGTCCATTTCACAGAACTCAGATGAAAGCTCAGCTATGCCAGGGTTGGCCATAGAACTCACAGTGGGTGTGATTTGAATAGCTGAGCACACTAGAGGTGAAAAT